AGAGGACACTGAGCCAGGTACCGAACCAGAAAGAAGCTGAATTCAGGAAGTCCCAATGGAGACCAAAGAGCTCCCGTGCAGGACCCTTGCTGAACTCCCCCGGGTGGAAGAAGGAGTAAAAGTTGTGCACCATTCCAACCCACTGCAGGCAGAAACGGGAGGCACCCAAGCTCATGAGGATCATGTCAGAAGGGAGCAGCCTCCCATGCCGCCTCCATTCTCTGCTCAGCACCAGCACAATGAAGCCATTGGCCAGGATTCCCAGGAAACACAGCAGGACAAAGAGCAGCATGAAGAGGGCTGTGAATGCTGGCTGCATTTTGGCCCCTCCTCTGGTCACCAGCCTTGCGCCTTGGTCCTTGGCCTCCTTCCTACCCCCACTCACAGTCCCTCTTTTGATTTTTCCTCAGGGGATGTGAAAAGAATGCTCAGGCTCTGCATTTGAGCCAGAGCTCACTTAAAAGGAAGATGCTTGGCTATGGCTATGGAGGAAAGGTGAGCTTGGTCCAGCAGGATGCAAATTTCTCCCAGGTTCAGTTACCATTATGCTACCAACCGCCCCTGATTTGGTTTTTCTGCTTTTGCATACATGTTGCCATGGTTAACATCAATGCAGAGGGCTTCTCAGGGAGTCTGTGATTGAGTTTCATCCTTCTTATGCCATCCTTGGGTCCTGTAAACACACACCTCCCCACCAGGTCATTCTCACCAATATTAAGTACATAAGCAAGAAGTACAGAGAGACATTCATATGCCAAGACCTAAGCAAATAGGGAAGCTACAGAAGTCTGTATCTAGCCAAGCTTTCCTGTTACACGTCCATCCTTACCTAGGAGTAGTCACCCCCTTCAAGCTCAGTTACCTTGGTAGCAAACCTCTTCTTAAATCCTTCTTGGCCCCTGAGGTATAAATGATTGACAATGTTTTAAACTAGTTGCATGCTTCCACTGAGAAAATTCATTTCCTCGTGGTTATGGGACTGAGGAGCATCTGCTTCTTGCTGGATGTCAGCTGAGGGTCAACCTCAGGTCCTAGTGGCTGCCTGAAGTCTTTGCCAAGTGGGCTGTTTCAACACGGAGGTTCAAGCCAGCAAAGGGAGTCTCTAGAGAGTGTCTTAAATATCAAAATGTAACCACAGGTGTGACATCTTATCACCTTTGTTATAGTCTATTGGCCAGAAGCAAGTCACATTCCCCACAGACACTCAAAAGGAGGGGGTTATACAATGGGGAGGATACCAGGAGTGGGGGACATGAGGGGCCAATTAGAGTCTGTCTACCAAACTGAGATACTGTAGCTTACAAGGCATGAGTGAATACTGTCCTCTAATACCAAATGAAAGAGATCCCAGCCCTAACTGGATAGCTTAGTTGGCATCCTCCCAATATGCCAAGGTTGCGGCTTAGATCTCTGGTCAGGGCACATTCAAGAATCAACCAATGAATGCATAAGTAAGTCAAACAACAAATTTACCTCTCTCTCTCCCTCCCCGCCCCCTCACCCCCTGCTTCCTCTCTAAAATCAATAAGTAAAACTTATTTTAAAAGAGAGATCCCTATGAGACCATGTTAAAAATAAAAATAGGATGGACCTAGAGAGCATTATGCTAAGCGAAATAAGCAAGTCAGAGAAAGATGAGTATCACATGATCTCACTTATTTGTGGAATACAATGAACAACAAAACTAATGAACAAAAATAGATCCAGAGACAGAGAAACATGGAGTGAACCATCAAACCTCAGAGGAAAGCAGGGAAGGGGGCGGGGGGTGGAAAGGGGAGGCAGTAAGAAATCAACTGAAGGAATTACATGCATGCATATTAGCATAACCAATGGACATGGACACTGGGGCAGTGGGGGCTTGTCCTGAGGGATGGGAGTGGCCGGGAGGGGTCACTGGGGGGAAAAGGAGACATATGTAATACTTTAAATAATAAAAAAGAAATTAAATAAATAAAATAAAAATATTTTTCCACATTAAAATAGATTCAAGTCAATCCATACTCAAATGTTTTGTTTAATATATCAAATTTGTCCTTCTTCCACATTTGTTTAAAGTATTTTTGTTTGTGCATCATAGAAAAGTCAGCTAAGAAAATTAGTCATACAAATAATATAAAGGTTGTTATCACCACAGCATGAATGTATAATTGTACTAAAAATAATTTACAATAAAAAGAGAGGGCCCATTGAAATTGGGTGAATATGCATTTTTCTCACTCTCAGATATCTGTTCCTTATACAGTTTTCACATTCATTCATTCACTCAACACGTATTTACTGAGCACTTATACACACAGGACACCTATTCTAGACAATGGGAACAGCAGCAAACTAAAGAGGTGGGATTCCTGCTTTTATGGAACCTGCAGTCCAATGGAAGGTAACAGACAATAAGGAAACACAGGAACAAGACACTTTCACATAATAATCGGTGCTTTGAAGAAAACAGAAGAGTAGGGAGAGGGAAAAGTGGTTTTCTCAGGGGGTAACCTGGCCTGAGAAGCCTGAACAGCTAGAGCTTTGCCATGTATAATGGGACATATTCATAATATCACAAACCATAATTTTATATCATTCTCTTCCACCATTCTTTTAAACTGTATTTGGCAGGGAATCTTCTCCTGCCAGAAAATAAGAACTCCAGCAGACCATATGACTTTTCCCTTTACTCTTATCAAATAGGTTGTCCCAAGATCACTTCAAATCACAAAACATCCTGAAACCAGAAGTTGGACATCGCCGTACAATATATGAATACTAGAGGCCCGGTGCATGAAATTCATTAATGGGAGGGTAGGGGGCGTTCCTCAGTCTGGCCTGCACCCTCTCCAATCCAGGACCCCTCAGGGAATGTTCGACTGCCAGTTTAGGCCCAATCCTAGTCAGACATCCCTCTCACAATACAGGACCACTGGCTCCTAACCGCTCACCTGCCTGCCTGCCAGCCTGCCTGATCGCTCCTAAACACCTCCAACTGCCTGCCTGGTTAACCCTAACTGCCTCTGCCTGACAACATGATCGCCCCCAACCACCTCTGCCTTGGCCCCCACCAAGGAGGACCAGATGGCAGGAGATATCTGGTTGACCTGGTCTAATTAGCATATTACCCTTTTATTAATATAGACTAGTGGCCCAGTATTCAAAATTTGTGCACAAAGAGCAGGTTCCCTCAGCCCAGCCTGCACCCTCTCCAATCTGGGACACCTCGGGGGATGTCCGACTGCCAGTTGAGGCCCAATCCCACAGGCAGTCCGACATCACTCTCACAATCCGGGACTGTTGGTTCCTAACCACTCACCTGCCTGCCTGCCTGATCACCCCTAACCACTCTGCCAGCTTGCTTGCCCCCAACTTCCCCCCCTTGCCGGCCTTCTCACCCCCAACTGCCTCTCCCACTGGCCTGCTTGCCCGCAACTGCCCCCCCCTAGCCAGCCTGCTTGCCCCCCA